GATGGGGCGCAGCCCCAACCCCCACGTTTTGGTGCCGAAAGTATCGTCAACACAGCATGGAAATTGGCAATATACTGATTTAATCTCGTGATCTTTTCAAAAATCCTTACATTAGCATCGCGCTTAGTGAAATATGTTGTAAAAGGTTTTTTTGAACAGCTACGGCCTGTGGTGGAATAGCTTATCAATTGCAGCAATGACAGCGCGACTAGGAATTAGGCAGGGTTTGATTAAATCTGTGGCTACCCAATCGAATGCTAAGCTGAATTATTTTAGGATGAGCCGGAAAAAAAGAAAGTAAGTCACAAATTGATTACGGACACATTCGAAACTGTAAACATTGTAAGGACGTTTGTTTGTAGCGACGAACCACGCAAAGGGCATTTTGAAAAAAAGGTAATCCCCTTCCCCCACACGTTTCAAAACGCTCCACCGCCTCTCTGTTCATTTCGCCTGCGACGAATAATTTTTAAGTGTTAACCATTTTAGTTGAGGTGCGCCGTTGTTGAAATGATAGTACATTTGTTTGTACAGATGAAAATTTTAAGTGAAAGGCAAAAGGAGGAGAGAGAGAATTTCCGCGAGCAGATGGACAATGACCTTCGAGCCCAGAGAGAACAGATGGACAACATGATGGAGGCAAACATGCAACAAGCACAGAAAGAAAGAGAGCAGTTTATGCAAGAAAACCAGGAACTCAGAAACCAGTTCCTGGACATGCAGAAAATCAACGAGGAAAACATAAAGATGATAAAGAAGCTGGCTCACTTGGTTGAAATGCAACAGGAAGAGAAGATTTAATTATCCACAGCCTCCCATGAGGTAAACAAAGATGCTTTATCTGCTAGACACAGAGATGCCTCAAAGCAAAGTAAAAATACACAAAGATACTTGGAAGTCGATCAAAAGGCATCTAGATAATATGAAACAAGGTGAAGATATTATCTGTAATAAATCGTGAATGTATATCAAAAATCACGTCTGGTTTAATCAACAGAAAAAAAGAACAATGATCAAGCTTACAAGTACATGTGTTCTGTTGCGTCCCTTGGGATATCCGATTACCTCATGGTATGCAGGTGCAACGACTATGTCATGAGTATAACATTCTTCCCATCAAGACTTTTGTGTATCAACTCAAAACAAAACTCTTAATCTTAAATGTTCTTGATGTTCCTATGAATGTTCTCAAAATTCCTATTTCAGTCAACACCCTAATTTTACGAACAACTGTAACCAAACTAATTAAAAAAAACTTAGAGTTTGAAATCCTTAAAACGTTCTGTTCTGCGTCTATTTCTAATTGGGCATGGTGATCCGGCCTTAGGTGTTTTAGGGGTTGAGCTCTCGTCTGATTGGTGTTGTGGGTTGACTGGTCCTGGAGATGTCGATTCTTGGTTTTGTTCAGAGGCACTAGGATCCTTTCGCAGGTGATCTTGGTGACTATGAACTATCCGACCATCCTGCAACTCTACTAAAGCTGACACAGGACCTGTCGAGCTCACTACGGTTCCTTTCTGCCACGACTTGGGGGAGCTGAAATACTTTACAAACACAGGATCGCTGGTATCCAGGTCCCTTTCTTTGGCGTGGTAGTCGTGTGCATCTTTCTGGTTCCCTTGTTTCAGCCTCCCTTGCCTGGCAGTGTTTGGCAACAGTAAGTCTAGTCTTGTCCTTAACTTTCTTTTCATGAGTAGCTGAGCTGGAGCAACTCCTGTTGTTGTGTGCGGTGTTATTACGATACGTTAATAGGAATCGTGACACTTTGGCGTACATGCTCTCTCCTTCCGTCCTTTCTGCTCCCTCTTTAAATACTCTGACTGCTCGCTCCACCTGTCCATTTAAGCTGGATGGTACGGGGCAGTCCTGGTGTGTTTGATACCGTTCTTAGCAAAGAATTCCTCCAGTTCTGCACTTGTGAAGTTTGGGCCGTTATCGCTCACTATGGTTTCTGGGAGCCCATAAATTGCGAAGATTTCCTTCAACTTCACGATGGTGGCTGCTGATGTAGTTGACTGCATGATGTGATCTACTTTGAATATGCATCTATCACCACCAGATACATGTAACTTTGTAAGGTCCGGCATAGTCTATATGCACTCTAGACCAAGGTTGACCAGCTAGGCCACTCCAATAGGTGGAGAGGGGCGTCCGCAGGAGCTTTCTGGTGAAGTTGGCACTGCGAACAACTCTGCACCTCACTTTCCAGTTCGCGGTCCATGTTCGGCCACCAGACGTAGCTACGTGCGAGTGCTTTCATTCTCGAAATTCCCGGATGGGCATTATGAAGCTCAGCTATGACTCGGGCCTGTCCTTGTGGTGGCACTGTCACCCTGCTGCCCCACAGAATACATCCATCTTCTATGGTTAACTCGGCTTTTCGGCTCGAATATTGGTGACGCTCTACGTCTGGGCACTAGGTTGGCCATCCCCTAAGTGTGAACTGGTACACTCTTGATAAAACTCGATCGAGCCTTCTCCATTCCCGGATGTGCCACGCATTGACTGGGGTCTGTTCTAGATGCTCCAACAGCAACACTGTCTCTCCTGCTATCGGAACAGACTCAGGCATTTCGGACAAGGGAAGGCGACTTAATGCATCCGCTTTCCCTACTTTATACGCAGTCTTGTATTCATACGCTACCAGTGTAAGTGCCCACCGCTGAACACTTGGGGCGGCTTGATGTGGAACTCCCTTCTCTTCATTAAAGAGTCCTTCCAGTGGCTTGTCGTTAGTCTGTATGGTGAACTTATGTCTGTACAAGAACTGATTGAACTTCTTCACTCCGAAGATGATGGCTAAGGCCTCCTTTTCGATGGTGGAGTATTTGCATTCAGCTTCATTCAGCGATCTTGAAACACAACCGATAGGACGCTCCGTTCCATTGGTTATCCGGTGATATCAGTTCCAGATCTGGTTGGAAGGGAACTAGGAGCTCTGCAGACTGTAGGCGTTTCTTAGCTGTCTCGAATGCCTTCTGTTGTTCACTCTTCCAACACCATGCCATGCCCTGTCTTACCAACTTGTGAAGTGGTTGGAGGACTGTGGCAATGTCTGGCAGGAACCGATGGTAATTCAACATTCCAAGGAATGCACGTAGCTGTGTAACGTTTCCGGGTGCTGGGGCGTTCTGTATGGCTTCTACCTTAGCTGCTACAGGCTTGATACCCCTCCCGTTGATCACATAACCAGAATACGTGACTTCCGGCACCATAAAGAAACACTTTTCCCGTCTCAGCCTTAGCCCAGCTGTGGACAACTTCTTAAGTACTGCTTCTAACTTAGCCATATGATCGTTGTCGTCTTTGCCACTGATGAGTATGTCATCCATCCGCACAATGACCTGTGGGATACCTTGCAACAGGTTTTCCATCGTCCTCTGGAAAACTCCCGTTGCAGAGGCAACTCTAAATGGCAGCCTGTTTTACTGGAGCAGGATTTTATGGGTATTAATGGTTGTAAACTTCCGAGACTCTTCTTCCAAAGTCATTTGTTTATATGCTTGAGACAAGTCTAACTTCGTGAGATTTTCACCCCCCTCCTAGAGTTGCCAGGAGATCCTCTGTTTTGGGTTTTAGATAATTATCCAGTTTGGACACCTAGCCATGGTTCCCAGCATACTTAGTAGAGGGGAGTACTAACTATGCTGGTACGCGAAGGCATCTCATTAAAATCCACGTTGGACTTTGATGAGTACGGCACTGATCTGGCTTTCACGTACTTTGGTTCCGCGTCAGGCTCTACGTAAATCTGTGCCTTGACTTCTTTGAGTGTGCCTCGTCCTTCAGCAAATACATCAGAATATTTTGTGAGGAGGTCGTCCAATGATGATCGGGGTTTCTGACCTGACGTGTATAATATCTTGTTCCAATCTAAGCGAATGCTTTGTAGCCAAGCAGATTCGGTCCACTACCTTTCACTATGATTGCTCTTAATTTATGCCGTTGATCTCCATATTTAACAGGAATTACAGCTGCTCCTACCACTGGTATCTGTTCGCCTATATACGTACTAAGCACAGTTCCCGTTTCTCGAGTGGACCTAGCGCGTCACGCAATCTTCCATAAGTGTTTTCACTTAATATCGTTTCCGACGCGCCGGTGTCGATTTCCATCATGGTTTCCGTCCGACCGAGTTCAATTTCCGCTTTGAAAGATTTTTTCTGTTCGCCAGATAAGTAGTACATGGAATAGACATCATCTTCGTCACTCCCTTGGACAAAGTTCGTTTTCTGTTTTCCATCGTTTTGCCGGCGTTTACTTTGGTCTTGCCATCTTTGCGGTTTGTTCTTACTTCTACAAACTTTCGCCATATGTCCCTTTCGTTGACATTTGTAACATACTTCATATTTGAAGATACATTTTGCGGGATCGTGGCCTGCACCACATCGATGAAATTCCGTTTTCTTCTCGACGTTCCGAGGTCTTGTGCTATCCCTTACTTCGTTAATATTATTGCCCTTTAGGGGGCTGGTCGTTTTTCCGCCTAAATCGATTAGATTCCTCGACGCCATCTCATGAGCCAAAGCTATTTCCACGGCTTGCTTCAACGAGATATCCCTTTCCGCTAACAGTCTTCGTTGAATGCAGTCATAACTGATAGCACAAACAGTCTATCTCGCAGCATGTCCTCGAGCGCTGTTCCAAACTGGCAATGTTCTGATAGCCTGCGAAGTCCAGCGACGAATTCCACCACAGTTTCTCCCTCGCTGCGGCTTCTGCTGTGAAATTTAAAACGTTCCACGATGACGATCGGCTTCTAAAGCCGTGTAGTTTTTTTTTTTGCATCCGATTCGCTCGGCTTCTTAGGTTGTAGCAGGTCTTGAAGTAATCCATACGTTTTGCTTCCTCAAGCGTTCAGCAGGATTGCCCTTTATTTCTTTCCGTCTTTGATTTCGTTTGCTTCGAAATACTGGTCCAGGCGTTCTGCGTATTGAGTCTAGGATTCCACCGAATCGCGAAATTCTCCCACGTTCCCGTAGGTTGCCATTTGTTCCAAGTATCCTCGTCGCCAATGAAATAAATCGTGAATGTATATTATAGATCACGTCTGGTTTAATCAACAGAAAAAAGAACAATGATTAAGCTTACAAGTACATGTGTTCTGTTGCGTCCCTTGGGATATCCGATTACCTCATGGTATGCACGTGGAACGATTTTGTCATGAGCATAACATTACCTTCGATCAATTAGTGCTTGATCTCAATGTCACAGAAGAAAACGATTTATTTGCTGTAAGTTGGTCACTGCTTGCTGCTACTGAAAAAGAAATCCTTATGAATTATGGATGAACAATTACAATGCTGCTTGCCTTAGTGCATAGAGAGCTATCACAGACATTCAGTTTGTACTAGATGTTTATGCAATTGTGCCGTGTACATAGCGAATTACATCTCGAAGGCCCAAAAAGGAGTGAGTGAACTACTACGAGAAGCTTGCACTGAGGCAAGGAAGGAGATTCTAGCACAAAACAACAAGTTAGAGATCGGCAGTTCATTTGCCAACAATGTTGAAATAAGTGCACAAGAGGCAGTCTACATTGTGTTACGACTACCCATGAGAAAGGCATCTGGGCAGATAATATTCATAAATACTTTACCTCCTGAGGAGAGGGAGGAGCTTTTAAAAACATTTGATGATACAAGGGCGTAGCCAGGGGGGTCCTGGGTGCCCTTGAGCCCCCTCCCCCCCTTGGTAGGCCTTCTTTTGAGCAAACAACCTACAATATTCAGATCGTGAAAACGCTATGACAATATCTTGGTCTGCCCACCTTACTCTCACTGCTCATCCCAAAACTGTAA